TTTGCCAGGAGATGATGGGACCAGTGGCCATGATCTTAGGTTTTTTTTATGTTGAGCTTCAGACCATTTTTGCGCTCTCCTCTTTCACCCTCATTAAGAGGTTCTTTAACTCCTCCTCACTTTCTGCCATCAGAGTGGTATCATCTGCATATCTGAGGTTGTTGATATTTCTTCCAGCAATCTTAATTCCAGTTCAGGATTCCTCCACCCTAGTGTTTCACATGATGTATTCTGCATATAAGTTGAATAAGCAGGGGGACAATATACAACCTTGTCGTACTCCTTTCCCAATGTTGAACCAATCAGTTGTTCCATATCCAGTTCTAACTGTTGCTTCCTGTCCCACATATAGGTTTCTCAGGAGATAGATAAGGTGGTCAGGAACTCCCATTTCTTTAAGGACTTGCCATAGTTTGCTGTGGTCCACACAGTCAAAGGCCTTTGCATAGTCAATGAAGCAGAAGTAGATGTTTTTCTGGAACTCTCTGGCTTTCTCCATAATCCAGTGCATGTTAGCAATCTGGTCTCGAGTTCTTCTGCCTCTTGTACTTCTGGGAGTTCTCGATCCACATACTGCTGAAACCTGCTTTGTAGGATTTTGAGTATAACCTTGCTAGCGTGTGAAATGAGTGCAATTGTACGTTGGTTGGAGCATTCTTTGGCACTACCCTTCTTTGGGATTGGGATGTAGACTGACCTTTTCCAGTACTCTGGCCACTGCTGAGTTTTCCAAACTTGCTAGCATATTGAGTGTAGCACCTTAATAGCGTCATCTTTTAAGATTTTAAATAGTGCAACTGCAATGCCATCACCTCCACTGGCCTTGTTGTTAGCCATGCTTTAGAGGGGTTGTTAGCTGTTTGTAAATCTGCCTGAAGGAATACAGGGATCAATTTAGGTCCTCCTGACTCCTTTAGCCATGTATCCTAATAGCTGTCACAGTGTTCAGTCAAAAGAGTCATTTTAATTTGAACCAATCCAGCTGCTTTCAGCACTATAAATTTACACTTGCACAATAAAATCTACAGAAGACAACATAATCTCATTTCCAGATGGAACGGATATGATTCTGCAAATGAAGTACAAGTCCCACCTTTGCTATCACCCTTTGGTACATCAATTTTCTCATATCACATCTCTTGTAACCAGATGAGCTAGAATATGAGA